GCCATCTAAATGTTCTCCCTCCATTTTCTTCACCATCCAATCCATCCACCACATAGCTGCCTAATATATATTTGCAAAGCACATGTCTAACTATGTCATTCCTGGGCTCAAAATGCATCAGTGCCTCCTTATTGCCTTGACATTTAAAGCTATTCACAATCTGGCCCCAAACTATTTTTCTAGACCTACTTTCCATTATTCCCCCTCAAGTACTCTGAACTCTACATTAAAGTCAACTCGGCCCATTGCCGTTCCCCATACACGACATTCCTTCTCTGTCTACTGCCTTTGGGCTTCTTTGCACAAGGTGCCCCCTTGCCTGGTATGCTCTTCCTCTTCACATTTACTTCTTAGAATGCCAAGATTTATTCAAAGCTCAGCTCCCATCCTATCTCCAAATGAGCCCTTTCCCAATCTCACCAGTTGTTTGTCCTATCCTTGCTCACCTGAAATTATTTTGTATATCATATATCATATTATATTATATTATATATCATATATATGAATTTACTCAGCTGTGAATGTGTTATGCTCCATAGAGTATAAGCTCCTTGAAGGTAGGGACTCTTCATTTTTGTCTTTGTATCCCCACTTTTTGGCACACAGTAGTTGCCAAATAAATGCTTATGGGATTGAATTGATTTTTTTTTCACCTTTGTCATCTGTGATGTTATATTTGTTTTATTAAATTTTATTTGTTCCCTTTTCTTTTCTCAACCCCTAATTGTAAGAGTTTCCACCAAAGTTTACTCCTTCTCCCTTTTTTCTCTATATACTCTCTTTCCCTTGACAATCTCCACTCCTATAACTCCAATCACAGACTTTGGTCAGAAAGCTTTCAAATTTTTGTCCCTGACCTCTCTGGTGAACTCCAGACCCTCATTTCTAGATCACTTTACTTGCTCATCCCTCTAAGGAATGTTCAAAATACAAATCATTGCCTTCTTCCTCAAAAAAAGAAAAAAGAAAAAAAGAAAAAAAAGAGAGAAAAGCCGGCTTCTCTCCCTTGCCTCCTCTATTTCTGTTAATAACATCCACCTTTTTCCTAATCACTCATACCTGAAACCGTCAAGTTTTTTTTTTTTCACAAAACCACAGAACTTCATAGTTAGGAGGCATCTCAGAGACCAGGTAGTCGAACCTATACCTGACAAGTCCCTTCTGTAACATCTAACAAGAAGTCATCCAGTCTTTGCCTGAATACCTCCAGAGAGGCCAAACACCCAACTTCCCAAGGGCTCATTCCCCTCTAGGACTTTTCTAAGTGTCACGAAGTGCACGGAGCCAAGACCTGCCCCTCTGCAAATTCTACCCGTTCTATTCTAATCACTTTTCAGTGACTATCCTCCTTCCCAGTCAGGAACCCTGTGCTTCTCTTAATGCAGGCTCAGCTCACATCACTTTTTTGGCTATCGCACTGCTGACTCATGTATTTAGCAGTCCACTAAACCCACAAGGCCTTGCTCCTGATACTTTAATCATTTGCTAAAGTCTTCTTCGGCAACTTCTCTCACACCTGCCTCCTTTCTATTTTCTATTCCTGTTGTTACCACCTTAGTGCAGACCCTCATTACCACTTGCTTAGAAAATTGTAATGGCTTCTTGTTTCTTCATCTCAAGCATCTCCCCAACTTCAGCTAATCTATCTTACAAAGCACTATGAAATTAATATTCCTGAACAGCTGTGATCACACTACTCTCCTACTCAAAGAATTTTAATAGTTCCCCATTGTTTATGGAATAGTTTCAACTCTAGCTAGGTGGTGGTGGACAGAGTGCTAGGCTTGGAATTAGGAAACCTGGAATTCAGTCCTGCCTCAGACATTTACTACCGGTTTGATCTGGAGCAAGTCATTTAAACTCTCTGCCTTGGTTTCCTCATCTGTAAAATGAAGGGGTTGGACTTAATGGTATCTAAATTCCCTTCCATGTCTAGCCTATGATCCTATGATCTTCAGCCTAGCATGCAAGGACCTCTTTGAGCTAGACTGTGCTTACTCTTTGAGCCTTAACTCTTATTATATTAACATATCACTCCACTAGACAACCTGCCATTCCCTAACATGGTCTACAATTTCCTGCTCCTGCTCCTGCTCCTTTGCTCATATCTTTCATTAAGCTCAAAAGGGCCTCTCCTCCGTTTTTATCTTCTCCTGTTGAAAATCCTACCCATCCTTTAAAGACCAGTTCAAAGGCCATCTATTTCATGAATCTTTCTCTGGTCTGCCCAGCCAGAAGTGATCTCATCTTCCCCTGAACACTCATAGCACTTAGTTCCTCACAATTTTTTGAATAATGCTTGTGTATATAACTGATCTCCTTTCCTCAGTGCTTTCCCCAAAAAACATGTTTGCTAATATGCTAATTTTAACTTAAAATTAAAAATAAGCAATTTTGAAAATTTTCAAATAATTTATTTTAAACTACTTTAGGATTCAAGGAAGATAAGAAAAAAAAATTTCCCATCCATGAGTAATGATGGGAAACCAAACTAAATTTCAGGCATATAGGGCATTATCATATGGTTGAATTCTGCTGACTACCAGTAAGTTAACAGATATTTATTAACTTATTAATAACATTGTGTTAAGTGTTGGGGATACAGAGAATGAGTAAAAGCTAATCCCTGCTCTCAAGGAACTCCCAGTCTGATGGGAATAATAATAAAATAAAAATAATAATGAAATAAAAACAACTATTGGTAAACAAGATATGTGCGGGATAAATTAAAGCCAATGATTGAGGGAATCAGGCAGCGCTTCTTGCAGATTGTGGGATTTTAGCTGAGGCTGAAAGGAAGCCAGGCGGAGATGAAAAGACTTGGTGGAAGAAGACATGAGACAATTTGTAGTTATGTCAGGAGGAAGAGGAGAATATTTATTTAAAAATGATAAGGAACATTCTCTTTCCATTTGGGGTCAATTTTAATTAAAACATACAACGTCTTGGCAGATTATGACTTGACAACTCTGGGGCTGTGTATATTGGAACACAAGCACACACCAATTGAAAAAATAAAAAAGTCTGCCTTTGCTAGATTATGACATGCTGAGGACAGGAGTGGTTGATTACCAATATTTCAACATTTAAAAAATTGGGTGGATAGCCATCCAATTGTAACCATAGGCAATATGGCAGGTTGGACACCTGATTTCACCATTATTTGTCCAAATGTTATTATACTGGTTGATTAGTTACAGAGTACCTACAATGTAAAGATCATTACAGCTCTTTCTTTGTTCAGTCATGTCTGACTTTTCATGACCCCATTTGGGATTTTCTTGGTTTGCCATTTCCTACTCTAGCTCATTTTACAGATGAGAAAACTGAGGCAAACAGGATGAAGTGACTTGCCCTGGGTCACACAGCTAGTAAGTATCTGAGGCCAGATTTGAACTCAGGAAGATAAGTCTTCCTGACTTCAGGCCCCACACTATTCACTAGGTCACCTAGCTGCCGCTATTATAGCTCTAGTGAATAATCATAAGGAGTCAAGATTGAATGATAGTCCTCTTCTTTCTCATCTCCATTACTATACTTAACTGCCCAACTGTAACTGCTGTGACCAGTTGCTATATAAATAGTTTAAAACATTTTAAATTTGAAAATAACTTTACAGTGGAATGCCAGTGATTGACACTACTTAGCTTCAGATTTTCCAAACATCCCCAGGGACCTTTTGAAATATTTACTGACATAAAATAAATTGTTTACAATTGTGAAGTGAATTATTTTTTTTTCTTTCAATCTCTACTTCCTGTTTCTCTCCCAAATTCCCCAAAAGGAAAAGGGAAAGAAAAATAGAGAGTTCATCTGCTGAAGTTCACTTTGTCTAAATTTGCAGTCTGTCTGTGTATCTCTGATCTCTGTGTAGCCAGCAAATGTGTTATTTCCCCCCTAAAACAGAAGAGATGTCCGTTTTGACTGTCTAGTTTAAAGAATCTTTCCTAAGCATACCACCTATCGCAGTTTTAATTTGAAGTGGGTGGGGGTGGGAAGGGACTAACCAAAGATATTGACTAGAATATTACACTTATTTTTCTTTTAATATATTTTTGGTTACTCCTTTGTTTTATATATTTGTGTGTATAGATAGATGTTTCTTTTTCGATCTGTTAAAATACTGTCATTTTAAACGTTCATAGTATTTCTGGGAAAAGTATTTTGCACTGTCATTTATTTGACAGTTCATCATTGGAAGAGAGCTAGGAACCTTAAAATTACACAGTTTGTAGCAGCGTCAGTTAATGTTTTCTTAAAGTTTTAACATTTTTACCCCTGAAATCTTAGTGGGTGGAACAAGAAATACAAAGTGACATAAGCGCTAGGTTGGTTCTGCGTGGTTAACTTTACAAGCAAGGGCGAACTTTTAAAATGCACACGGTTGCTATGAAAAGTATAATTTGCCTAACTCTTCCCTCTGGGAAAGTCTCAGTCACCTGACAGTCCCCAAAGGCCCCTCTCCCGCCACCCCAGTCCCCATCCCCGCACACACCCACATGAGTTGGAAAAGCCACAGGACGTCCGTGTAAGGCAGGAGACCCCTAGCTACATAAAGCGCCTTGTGCCCACTTTCGGGTCAGGGGAGGAGAAGGGAGGGACTGAGGTCAAATTATTTTAATTCACCAACCAAGGAAAGCATGGCAAGGGACGATCGCAGTCCAGGAGCCAAGCCCCTTGGTCGAGAGCCAAGACGCGCTCGCACGGATCAGTGCCCCTTTGGGCCGGTGGGCATCGGGGAAATAAAGGCACGGCGTGAGAATAGGATAGGGATGGGGGTGGCGGGAGCGGAGGCCGAGTCCCATTTCATGTTCTGGCCCAGGGCCTCCTGGGGGTTCCCCTATCCCTCTACCCCCTTCCCTGCCTATGGTAGAGCTGCAGCCTGTCTCCCAGGAGAACTGTCTGGCGCTCCAACTTGGAGAGGGGACTCTCCTGGCCAGACTGGTGAACCAGGGCGGCGCGGAGAAGTTAGGGAGTCTCGGACTTTGCCACCGACCTACCTGTGCTGCTGCTCTGGGGACGGCTGAGGCAGTGGCAGCGGTTGCGGAAGGGTCCCTGACTGCCGCTGGTCCCGGGGCTCCCGGGGCTGTCCGCGCCCCCTTCTCCTCCAACCCACCCACCCCGAGAGTCAGGCGGGGGCGGGTCGCTGCCACCACTCTGACGGACGCCCATGGAAGCCAATGAAAGACTGGGGCCGGTCCCTTTGCGTCATCGGAGGGGCGTGGCCAAGACGACCCTTCCCCACCTCCCCCTTTCTACCCGTGGTCCCAAGCCCCCCAATCTAGTGGCCTGGATTTCCCAGCCCTTTCTAAGATTCTCCCTCTTTTGCTGCAGTCCTGGGTCCGAATTCTGGACAGGGACTTTTAATCCTATTGATAAACCGGACCCTAAACCATTAGGTCAGGCAAGTCACTTCGCTCAGTTTACACAGAAGGCAAATGGGAATAGCAGAGTTTTCCCTTCTGCTGGGGATTTCTGAGTTTGCTTTGTTTCAAGTACGCCCAGCAAGCCCGAAGGAGATAAAAGTATTGCGAAACAATGAGAGCCTCCAAGAAAAGGCAAACTGTTATTACTAGGAAAAGACCAGAGAGCCGGTATCGGGCGTTCATATTTCTTCCAAATGAGCACTAATTTTGAACCAGATCCATGCAACCCCCACACATCAGATTCTTACTGCCTTTTGTGGGAGCTGCTGATGCACAGCACATGCCATACTGTCTCCAAGCTGCCTCACCAAACAAGCAAGCCCTCCTGGCCCAGTTTTATAGAGAAGGCAGCAGTTAAATAAATAGAATTTGTGACTTACACCAAGTTACTAGGTCAGTAATGACCAAGCACGAAAGAGAATCCTTACATGCATACAGTAAAATCGCTTACATTTTGGGTATACCCTAAAGGACTGTGGATTAAGTGAGTTAAAAAGCTTTTAAAGCAAGTCACTTATCACTGCAAGATTCAGAATCGGTTTACTTAACTTCTGAAAAAAAAATACTCAAAAAGTTTTTTTCTGATTGTTAACAGAGTCCAGTGTAAGGGGCAGCAGCATGGAGTATGGCTGGGCCAGCACTAACACAAGTGAATTTTACGTTTTTTGCAGCAGCAGATCCAAAATCTATCAGCTGTTCAATATTACTTTAAAAAAACAATCTTCTCTTTAATTAGAATGATGATGAAAGAAGACAGGATACTGGCTGCCTGATTTCATTCCTGTGGGCATTCCACCATTGGTGCAGATCCCAACCCATCCACACCTTCTCATCCTCTGAAATTCCTGTCCATTGACTGCCATAAATCCCTCTTACAGGAGCTACATCACATCCTGCCCAAGTCATCATCACTAATAGATTGCAGATGAATTACATTCACTGTGTGTCTCTCCAACACAGGATATCAGGCGACTTTTTTTTTCGAGTAAAACTAGATATAAAAACCATTGTGGAAGAGAGACTACTATTGTGGTGAATTACTAACTTTGGTAATAACTAGATTTTTCCCAAGAAGCAACAGCAGGAGCCTAGATTTAAGGTGGAAGGGACTTTTAACGATTGGGTATTCTAACCTTTCATTTTAAGGAGGAGGAAAATGAGGCTTCACAGAGGTTAAGTGACTTGTCCAAAGTCATACAGTTAGTATGGAGTGGAACTCATATTAAATATTAAGTCTTTTGATTCCTAGTCCAGCAAACACTTTCCTACCACACTGCTCTAGCACAGTGCCCTTTGACTAGATTTTATTCAATACTTTAATCTACCTAGGATCTCACTAATGTGGCTACTTGTTCTGTGCCTATAGATTACAATCCACTTTTGCCTTTGTGTAAAGGTTGGGCGAGACCGTGGCTGAGATCCCTTCTAACTCTCAAATTCTGTGACTCTGATTCTCATCCTCTGCATCCTTTGATAAATCTTCCATAAAGAACACTGCCAATGTACTAGCGACCTTTCTATTGTTCTTTCGGTGACCTATGTCTACCAATGCAGCATTTCAGCTTTCCATATTTTGTCTCTCTTTATACATAACTGGCCCAACTTCCTTTCCAACCATGCATTTCCTTGATAATGGAAAAAAAAAAACTTTTGAAAAGTTTTAACATTAATTTTTTTTGTTTTTATCATCAATCATGTCCCTTTAACCCCTTCTCCACAGATAGTGAACCCTTGTAATATCATCCACCTCAGATAATCCTGTCATCTACCCCACTGTTGTACTTGCTCTTCTCAAGTGGAACAGCATGGTTAGGACTAGAATCCAGAGACTGTCCGTGTGTCCAATCTGTGTCTGGCTCCAGATCATACCCTCATCCGCTCTAGACATCTTGCTATCTGCCCTGCTGAATGGCCCTCCTCTCAACCTCCACCCTTACTTTTCAATTCTTTCTCTGGAAGCAGTAATCAAAGAAATACTGCCATTGCTTCTAGAAACAGACATGACTACCAATTGCCTTGTGGCTACACCTACCGTTTCTGAGACAAAAACTCCCTTCCCTGTGTGGCGTCTTCCCTATTAGAAAGTAAACTCCTGGGGCAACTAGGTAACACAGTGGATAGAGCACCAGACCTGGAGTCAGGGGGACCTGAGTTCAAATATGGCCTCAGACACTTGATACTTACTAGCTGTGTGACCTTGGGCAAGGCACTTAACTCTGCCTCACAAAAAAGAGTAAAACTCCTCAAAGGCAGAGACTGTTTCACTTTAGTATTTATTTCCCCATCACCAAGTAGAGTGCTGGAACATAGTAGGTGATGAATAAATATTTATTCTTTCAAAACAAATGTTTCAGCGAAGGTCCCCTATTTGATGGTGTATATATCACATGAACCATCCTCAGTCTTTTGTTCTCTTCTTTGCACGCAAGTCATTGTTGGTGATACATTGCAGCCCATTTTCACCCACCATGAATCTTTCTGTCACCTTTTTTGAATTAACTGAAATTTTAATTCTTCATCATTGTGTTAACAAATTTATAGTCCTATGCTGTCACTGGAAAAATATTGGTTGGAGAGAAAGACTCTTGGAGAATTCCAATTTCCCAAATGGAATCAGAATCAAGAGAGACTTGATTCCAAACCCTGCCTCTGACCCTTACTAGATGAATGGCCCTGGACAAGTCATTTAACCTCAACTGGAAAATGAGGACAATAATCACCTGTGGTTAGTAGTTCCACCCTTAAAGGATTCTAGGCTTTCACAGACTGGTTTTATCTTCAGAACCTGACCCTAAGGAGATTAGTTTCCAGGTAGGTGGATCATTAATGCCCCAACACTGGAATAAAACTTCAGGGAAATCTCTGAATAAAGCACAGGTATGGCTCATGTTTCACCTGCAAAGGAATTCAATCTACAGTATGGTTTCAGATATAGGATAGATTTTTTTTCTTTTACTTCAGAAATTGCATAAGACACACAGAGCTCACAGGATCATGTTAGGTCCCATTCAATAAATTCCAGTGAGTATTACCTTCAGGATAAAATATAAAATCTTGCCTTTTAAAACCCTTCACAACTTGACCCTCTTCTACCTTTCTAATCTTTTTACATCTTGTTCTGCCCTCACCTCTACCCATATGTCCCAGCTTTCTGTGTTCCAGGGATACTGGCTTCCTTGCTGTTCTTCAAACAAGACAATCCATCTCCTAGCTCTGGTCATTTTCACGGGCTGTCCCTCATGCCTAGAATTCTTTCCCTCCTCATCTCTTCCTCCTGGTATACTTGAGTTCCAATGGTCATGAAGGCAGCTGAAGCATACAATGTGGAACACTTAGAGCTTGGTCAGACATCAATGACGCCAAGGTCATCTATTTCATCTGGACCATCGCTGGTCATTTTAACCTTTGTGTTACCATTGGACTTCTGTGACTCTGAAAGAGAGAGTAAGGCTGATAATATTGTGCAACTATGCCTCACTTAACTCCAGTTCACTCGCAAATCAAGACATTGTCCCTCAATGTCACTAGTCTTCAAAAACGAAGAACCACCAATAAAAAGAAGCCCCAACTAAAATCCCACTTTCTACAAGAAGCCTTCCCTGATACCCCTTAACTCTAGTGCCTTCTTTCTGTTGATTATGTCTGATTTATCCTGCATTCATCTTGTTTGCATATTGTTGTTCGCATCTTCAGACCATGAGCTCCTTGAGAGCAGGGACTTTGTTTTTGTTTTTGTTTTTGTTTTTTTTACTGTTTGTTATATCCTCAGGGCTTAGCACAATTCTTGGTACATGGTAGGCACTTAAAAAATGCTTCTTGACTGACATAAACAAATACAGGAAACATAAAATTCTCAAGTATGCAGTTACACTGTCTCTTCTTGAAAGACTAAAAAAAAACTTTACACTGAACAAATACTCCCCATTAACCTCAGACCTACCCTGTCTGAACAACTCATAGCAATATCATGAGAGGTTGGCAAGGTCTAACTCTCCTGACCCCTCGTGGCATGATTTTAGTCTTTCAGCTGCAGGGCAATCCTACTATGGGTTATCTTCCTCCTCTGAGAAGAATGTTGTTAAGGAAATCTCCCTCTGGGCAGTGAGTGCTTGACTCTTGAACTCAAAAGCTCAGGAACTCAGGATTATCCATGAGATAGCCCCAGAGCTGGAAATATCCTTTGTCAAGATCATTAATGTCTGACCTGTATTCAGAAAAGGAAATATAAAGACAAAAGAAGGCATCCAGGAACTCAGGTTCCAAGAACTTTCTGTCTTGGGCTCACCTGGACAAGCTTAAGTTGCCCACCATTGCCACCTGCTTCTCCTGTAAGATGCTATTTTGTGTTAATTTTTATTTCTGCTGTGTATGGTTATATTGATTTTTTTTCAAATATCAAAAATTTTTTTCAAATATTTTAAATGGGTATCACTGAGGAAGTTTTGTAGGATTTGAAGATTCAATATAATTATTACCGGGTCATCTGTGAATGGAAGCATTTGGGGAACTTTGCCGTTGATAAGGGATATGTCTCCTATTTGACTCTGAAAAAGGCATCTCTGTGACACTGGCCAACACTGTAAGTGAGCAAATGTCTTCCTTTTTTATGTCTTGTTGGATGTTAGAACTTTTCAGGTCATTAAATCAAATCCATAGTCATCACTATG